CCATGTATTAGGTCATCTGCTGCCTTCATAATTGAATTGAGTACATTGGATTCTTGCTTCTCCATTCTTGTGATGCTTTACTAAGAAGAATACATTCCAGTTCCATCCAGGCTAATACAAAAGATGTAAAGTCTCCATCTCTTTTAATGGCTGAATAGTATTGCATGGTATTCATATACCACAGCTTGTTAATCCATTCCTGAGTTGGTGGGCATTTAGGCTGTTTCCACATTTTGGCAATTGTAAATTGAGCTGAGATGAACAGTCTATTGCAAATGTCCTTATGATAAAATGATTTTTTTTTATTCTGGGTAGCTGCCAGGTAATAGGATTGCAGGATCAAATGGGAGGTCTAATTTGAGTTCTTTGAGGATTCTCCATACTTCCAAAACGATTGTATTAGTATTCCAGAATTCTGAAATTGGTTTATTATTTAAAAAGTGAATTAGTGAAATTCACAACATTATCAGAATAAAGGAGAAAAATTGTACAATGACCTTAATAGATGCAGAGAAAGCATTCCATAAAGTCTAACAATCATTCATGATTAAAATGAGCATTAGAAAGACACTTCTTTAGTCTCCTAAAAAGCAACTATTACTATAAATAACTTAGAGTAAATATCATCTTAGGTGTAAAATGTTGAGAGTATCCTTGCCAAATTCTTAATGTCCAGGGCTTTTGACTGCTGACTGGGGGCTATACTCTTTGAACTGAAAGGAGAGAAGCTGAGTCCTGGTCACTTCGGCCAACATTAGTTTCAGATGCTGATCGGACATTTTGAGAACCCACCCTACTCTACCCAATACCCACTTAGGCTCCTTCAACCTGGTCTCCCAGTATGCAGATCCTGGAGTCCAAGAACCTTAGAAGACTCTAGCCCAGACCCTCAAGCTACTGATGGAGATAGTGAAGCCAGAGAGAGGATGAGGCATTTCATGGTCAAATCATGAACAGTTCACTTACTTGCTAGACAAACATTTATCAGGCACCTACATTCTCCCAGGCCCTATGCAAACCAGTCTGCATCCCTGGAGTCTTTAGTCTAGAAGAGAGAGAGGCAACAATTAAAGTTAATTAGTTCGTGATAAATTATGTTGAATGCTGTGAATGAAACAGTGAGCTGTAATTCAGAATAATCCAGAGAATATATTCTAGATAAGGTCAAGGAAGGTCTTCCTGAGGAGATGACATTAGGTGGAGACTTGAAGGTTGAGAAAGGGCTAGACATGCAGAAAGCCAAAGGGAAGGACAGAAGGAATGACATGAACTATGGGTTTCAGGCAATAATAATTCCTAACACTTATTTAACACTTAATATATGCCTGGCACTATTCTAAACACATTACATGTATGACCTCATTTATTCTTCGTAACAGCCCTGTGAGGCAGGGAATATTATCTCCATTTCAGAGGTGAGGAAATGTTAAGAGATTGAGTATTAATAGCTTGCCCAAGGCTAGTAAGTAGTAGAGATGGAGTTCAAACCCAGCATCCATATGCTTAATTATTTTGCTATGCTGACAGAGTTGTGGCTGAAACCCAAGTCTCCTCCTGACTTCTATTTCAATGCTTATTCCATGATTGTTTGCACATATATATGAGTTTACACAGTCCCAAGTTTCTCTTTCAGGAATCTGTATATAAATAAGGGACATCCAAGGGCACCTTCTTCAATCAGGAGTTGAATTGAAGGGCATGTCACGTGCAGTAGTTCATGCCTGTAATCCTAGCACTCTGGGAGGCCAAGGTGAGTGGATTGCCTGAGCTCACAGGTTTGAGACCAGCCTGAGCCAGAGTGAGACCTCGTCTCTAAAAATAGTCCGGCATTGTAGCAGGCCCAGTAGTCCCAGCTACTTGGGAGGTTGAGACAAGAGAATCGCTTAAGCCCAAGAGTTTGAGGTTGCTGCAAGCTGTGACGCCATGGCACTCTACTGAGGGCAGCAAACTGAGACTCTGTATCAAAAAAATAAAAGAATTGAAGGGGATGCTGATATTTTTGAGACAGAAGTCTGCCAGCCTCCTCATTTGCCAGCAAATTAACAAACTTCTCTTTCCTTCTCCTCAAACCACTTGTCTCTCTTTTTCTTTTTCTTTGTTCTTTTTTTTTTCCTTTTTCTACACAAACCTCAAGCCAATTTTCCCTCTTTTTTTGATGCAGCTTAGTAGGACAAGTGCCTAACTATTGGTAACATATTTTGGCATCCCTGGTTAGGCCCAGTGGCACCCCCATGGAATGGCACTATGCAACTGCTGGAAGAGGCAGCAGCAGCCCAAGGTAAAGCCATTGGTCTTCAAGGGCAGGAGCAATTTTCAAGGTGACAAAGCAAGGAACAACCCAGCAGCTGCTAGAACCTGTTTAGCTCTGAGACACTGCCATCTCTGTCTCCCTGAAGTAAACACAGATCCTGCAACTTAAAGTGAGTTGAGGAGAAGGAAATGGATGTGGTAAGTGTCTGGGATGCCAGGCCTTTTGTTGGGCCAGGGGTTGGGTTGGGAGGGGCAGGGGAATGTCTTTTGTTCTTTGTGCCACAGGAGATAGATCAAGGAAATCATCTGGGCAGACAGCATGAGATTGTTTTAGCCCAAGAAGGAGTTGTAGGATTAATCAGAATCTTTAGAAGTTCTATGCTTCTGCTCAGAGGAGGAGATGCTGGTATTTCTGAAATAGGAGTCTGACGGCCTCTTCATTTGCCGCAAATTAATAAACTCTTTTCTTCTCCTAAAAAAAAAAAAAGTTACCAGAACTGAGATGCCCACAAGGAGTTTGTGCTGACAGCCCAAAGGGCATTGTCACCCACTCTAGAAGTTTGGCCTCAGGTCTCGAATGGCAGTTTCCTAGGTGTTCCCCACAAGGGCAGGCAGTTCTTGGGAAACTGGTTGAAGATGGTGGCAAGGAGGGAAATCATGGTTCATTGCAGGCCTATTTGAGTCCTGAACTGAAAGACTAGGACTGTGGTAGACTCAGTTCGGTGTTATAGGGTCAGAGTCCAGGTCATCCCCAGGAGGAAGGTCATGGACCATGGTAGTTACAGAAACTAGAAAAGGCCAGAGTTCCACAAGGAAGGAGATAATTTAATGTTGGTAAGTTGTCAAGAAATCAGGATTCCTTGAGGCCTATGCTGCCTCCTACCTGCCTTTGACTTCATTCATTTATTTGGGCATTTAATTATTAATTAATTTATTCATCTAGTCATTTTTTCATATAGTCAACAAATGTTTACTTTTCTATACAGTAGTCCCTCTGTTGGGCAGTAGGATGTATAGACAATAAGAAGTGGTCCCTACTCTAGGGGACCTCACAGTCTAGTGGGGTCGGAGAGGGGAAGATTCACAGAAGAATTCCTAGAGGAGGTTACACAGTCTTTCTGGAGGGAGTAGAGTGGGAAGACCAGTGCAGACAAAGGAAACAGCAAATGCAAAGCTATACCTACGCGTGAAGGAGCCTAGCTCAGTTGGGTAAAGCTTGCTCATGCACCCATGAAACCTGAATACAGAGGGTATAAATATGAAGGGGTATAGGGCAAAGCCTGCGTTTGTTCCAAGGCAATGATTAAGTAACACATGACAAAGTGGAGAGATAGAGGCCTGAAGATCTGGAGACTGGGGTCCAATCTGAGCCCTGCCGCTAATTCAGTAGGTGACCTTGGGCAGGTCTCTTTTGCTCTCTGGACTTTAGTTTGACCCTCTAGAAAAAGACAGGGTAGGATTATGATGATGTCTTAGGGGCTCTCTTCCAGCTCTATCATTCTGTGATTCTAAATCCCTTTATAACAAACTCTAGGAGAGGAGCTTTACTCTTGCAAATGGAGTGTAAAGTTAATCCTGCCTGTGCTGAGGCTAACTAATGTGCATGTGTGGTTTATCCTACTTCATTAAACTCTGACTCCCCACAGAGCAATGCACAAGGCAGCCCAGGCAGGTAATATTGAAGTGTTGCTGAACGAGGTCTCCTAATGGAAAATGATTTTTTCCCCACACTTTCTCAGATTTATCAACACAAAGCCTGCAACTCCATTTTCCACATTGTTTCTTTGCCATATGCACAGATTTAGACCTGGTCATAGGTACAGCAAATTGG